TCTCAGGATCTTAATCTGTCACATCAGCTCACATGTGGTCAAAATAGTTCATTAAAAGTTTGGCTCATTTCTCTTTATATTTTTCTATGTCAGTTTTACTCTTCCTGCCGCTGCTCTGCCAGGAATGAGCAGTCAAAAGAGTTTTCTCTTCTTGTCTCTTTATGGGATGTAGTTTGTTTAGGTTTTCCTGTTATAATCAGGCTTTTGGATGATTTTTTAATCTATGATTTTATAGTTTATCCAGTTCTTTCTCATTTTTGGGAGTAGTCGCAACAGTCTCTAGTGAGTTTCTTCATCCTAATTGAAAGTGGCAATCTCTTTTCCACTTCTCTGATAACTTCTTCAGTATAATTCATGTTTTATATTTCAGTCCTCCACGTATGGCTTTATTTGAAAACTATGTTAAGCCTAACAAAAAGCTCTCAGAAATCTCACCTGTGTTATCCCTTCTAAACAGACATTTATTGAGATATATTTTAAGGACCAGAAACTATTTTCATAAAAAACAAACACGGTAGATACTACATGGGATAGTAAAAATTCTACTAAAAATTGAATAGCAAGGTATCTACTTATGCAATCTAGAATGTAGAATTCACAATTTTTCAGATTGAAAGTAAGTATCTAGGAGTAAAGGGCCATAATATATACAATATCCACAGTATATACAATATATCCATAATCTATCAAGGACTTAATGGGGTCCAGTCATCTGTATTCAAACACATAAGACTTTGCTTCCTTATTCCTATCATACCTTACCCCAGGAAATACTTAATGCATAGTAAGGTGTTCTTATTCTCATTTTACAGATGATGCTTCTGAGATCCAGGGGGCAGAGTGCCCACCAAGTCTCTCAGTACACAGGAGTGTAGGGAGACCCCAGGCGCCACTGTCCTGGTCCTCCTAAACCATTCTAATAGTTGTTCATTTTAACTGCAAGGCCCAAAGGACTAGCTAATTGTGCCATAATATGCAAGGGTGACTTTTTTTAAAACTTTCTATTTAAAAATAATTTCAAAATCACAGAGTAGTTCAAGGAACACTCATACATCTTTCACCCAAGTTCAGCTACTGTTAATATTTTGCTCCATTTGCTTTGTAATTTGCTATCTAGCCACATATATTTTTTGAATCACTGATAAGTTACTGTATATATCATGGCCCTTTACCCCTAGATGTTTTACTTTATCTTCCTAAGAGTAAGGATATTTCCTTATGTACCACAGTACAGTTACAACAAATACATTTAACAACGATACACACTTTTTACTGTCCACATTCTAATTTTGCAAACTGACCTAACAGTGAGTTTATAGCATTATTTCCCCTTCCATAGAGGATCCAGTCTAGGATGAGATATTACACTTAGTTGCCATGACTCTTTAGGATGGTTTGATCTGGAATATTTCCACAGCCTTGGTCTTTTATGACATTGATACTTTTTAAGAATATAATTCCTTTTTTCTTTATTCATAGAATATTCCTCATTTTAGATTTGTTGGTGTTTCCTTGTGTCTGATATTGCCTTGTGATTAGATTCAGGTTATGTGCTTCCAGGTGGAATACTACAAACGTCATGGCTTTCTCAGGTTATCACATCCAGAAGCATTATGTCCATCTGCCCCTACTGATGACATTAATTTGATCACACAGTCGAGTTGTTGTCTGATTTCTTCATTATACACTTATAATTTTTCCCTACAACTAGGAAGAAATCTGTGGGGAAACACATTAAGACAACAAGATAACCTGCTTCTCCTCATGGATGAATTTTTATAACAGTATTTACATTGTTATAAAAAATGATCTCTACATAGGAAAAGAAACTGAGGTTCTACTTATTACACTTGAGTAACTTCCAGTCAGTTTTAACATCTGTTTTTATTATATTAATCCATGCACACTTGGTGTTTATTAAAAACTATTCACTAACTGCTATCTGGGTAGGATATGGACAATTCAATTTTTAAATCTAAGTGGTATCAATGAACTAATTTTGGTTCATAATTAGAAATCTCTTTAACTTATGCTACAGAAGGTTTAGGAATTAAATTAAATGATATAATTGAAGGAATACTCTATTAAAAAAGAGATGAAAAGAAAGAAACTTGTGAAAGAACCCATCTCTATTTGTTCAAATTACATATGGATTCTGGTTACAATAATATTGATTATTATCCAGCCTGTTTTAAGCAGTATGTTTTTTTTTTTTGAGAGGGTATCTCTCATATTTATTGATCAAATGGTTGTTAACAACAATAAAATTCT